TTACTCAATCCTAGAATTCAAGCTGTAAGGGGCAAGCAGAACAACTCAGGAGCAGGTTCTCCACTACCCAGCAATATGAACAGCCCGATACAACAACATATGGTTGTGTTTTGCAGTGTCTCTGGGCTTTGTTTTCATTTATATGTACAATTGCTTAGATGCAGGGCAGCAGAGAGACCAGGCATGTAAAACTGAGGCTGCAGTGGATAGATTTGCATGCAGTGTCACAGATCTCCAGCTGCAGAAAGCACATTTCACACAAAGATGAAAACCTTTCTAGAGACAGGGCACTGGCCGAATTGTATTTAACTCAGAAACAAAGCTTCCCCTGAAGGAGAGTAACAAACTGATTACAAATAATTAAAAAGAAGATCCATTAGGGAAGGTTGAAAGAACTGAATCTCCTCAGATTAGAAAAAGATTAAGGGAAGACAAACAATGCCTACAAATATTTAAACACTGTGTTATAAACTGCTCAGAGATTAATTTTCCTCCTTAGTCAACAAGACAATACAAAATAATGGACTGCAGCAGAGACTGATTACAAAATACCAAATGATTCAATTTGCAACATCTGGATTTTCATCTGCTGCTGGAAGTTTCCAAGATGGATAGGTCTTCAGAAATGGGCCTTGGTGCTTGCACCGAGTGAGCTGCTAATGCTGGCTGATCATACGTTAAGGAGAGTTTTGAGAATAACAACTTCAAATCCTTCTATAATGCATAGGAAAAGTTATAATGGGACATATCTCAAGAGGTGCCTATCTGCTCAGTGGCTCTGTGGACTGACTACCCATGAGACAAAGGTGCCTGGCATGCGACAAAATAACCTTGTAAGACTGAGGCAGTACAGGAGATGTGCTTCTACAAACACTTAACACTCCCTTCAACAAAGATCAATTCTTCAGTGAAGAGTCAATGAGGCTGTTTTGCACAGATTTTCATCCTGTCCAATATAGTTATTTCACATTAAAAATTTGGCTCTTTTAAAGTAATTATCCTAACTTCCACGATAGCAATGCCAACCTGTTTTCCCTAACATTTTTCTTTCCCATTTCAAAAGAAACCAATCTATTCACAAGGCTTATCTGCTAAGAGAGAGAGGAGATTGGAAAGTGTATTGATCTTAGTGATGTCAAGTCCTTCTAGGGAATAAAAATTTATTTCTCTCCTGTCTCTGATTATCTTTTTGTGAGGATGTGGATCACAGGCTGGGAAATAGTACTCCGTTAGAGAGGAGACAGGCTTCCCTGCACAGGTGGAAAGGCTGCACTGGGAAGCATGAAGAAGGAAGCAGGAAACTGAAGTTAGAATTTGAAGAGCTATTAAGTGAATTAGGAGTCTAGAGCTTGTGGAAGGTCACACAGCTTTCTAACTTTCAAACATGCAGCTTTAACCTTGCAAACTCTGGCACAGGACAGATATTGGTCTCATGAAATGACTACTATATTTTTCAGGGCAACATGCTGAAATGTGCTAAGCTCCCTCCATTCCCACTGGGAGGAATGCAGAGATCTAGGAATCTGTCAAAAGTTGTGTTGTTTTGGGGTTGTTTTTAGAAAATAAGAAGATATAATTGAGAAGCACTTATAGGAAAGCTCAAAGCAAGGGAATTGCTCCATTGTCTCAACACTTTCAGCCAAGTAATTCAGCCCAGAGCTTTATCTGTTGTTCTGCTGAGTTTTAGGTCAGGCACACATTTTCAGGTTTAAGAAGGGAGCAAAGAAAACTCTCTGCATCTGCAATATGTCCTTGGAAGACTAATCTCAACAGATACCAAGGCCCTGATTAGGCATCTGTAAGTCCTCACATTGTACTATGACTGCATGTGAGAAATCTCAAAAGCACGATCAAGATTTTGCAAAATACAAAGTGAGATCCTGACCTTTTGAAATTAATGAGAATTTTGCCATTGACCCCAGCAGGACCCCAGATTCAAACCTTGTTATCTACCCTGAGTTGCAGAGGAGCTAAGAACTTGACAGTCTGCTTGAGCTTTGAATTCTCAGCACTTTTAAATATTAGCTCATTAGCCTACTTTGTTAAGTATAATGAATGACCTCTGAAAATCATCACCTAAAATTTTTGTCTGCAAAACTGTCCTATTTGCAGCCAAATTTTTCTTACACTGTTTTTTTATCTGTACTTTCAGTGTAAAATGGACAACAAACTCTGTATTTCTGATTTAAATAACTGTACAGATTTACTCCCTTATAAAGCAAAATTTAATTTTTGTGACCTCACTGTGGTTTCAGGAGATTTTTCAGAGCTGAGAAGAGAATAGCCTCCTATCTCTGCACCCTGTGGAGATGCAGCTCCCAATGGGTTGTCTATGACAAGTCCACTCTTCCTCAGCCAAAAAGGCAAAGACCAAGGAATAAAGCTCTGTATGAGTCAGACTGCAGTAAGGAAACAGTGGCTCACACTAAGTTTAAGGTAGATATTTCTATCCTACCTCACTAAAATTCTTCCTCCAGCAACTGAAATGCTGCATCTTTCCTATCCTTTACTGAGTACTCTCTCTTTTGATCTGGATAAATTAAGCTGGAATGCCCTTCTCATGGACTCTAAATCTGACTGAATAAATCACAATAAACATGGTTGGAAATAACATGAAATGACAGTGTGAGTGTTTAGAGATTGTTTCTATATATAAATATTAAAGCAATAGTTTTTCTCCCAGGTGTGCCCAAGCAACACCTGCCCCCAGCATGGCACAGACCCCTCTGCAAAAGGAAACACCTCAGGCACCTCCCTTTCCAAAAGGCAAACACTGATCAGAGCTGAGTTCTGTCTGCTTTTTCAACATAGCACAAAGGGGCCAAAGTCAAATGGGGCAATAGTATTCTTAGGATTGTTTCCAGCAGCTTAACCAAGAATGTCTGCCAGCTCAGGTGTTCAGATATTTACCCAAAATTTGTATTTCATGGTCTTTAAACATAGGTGATACTTTTTTTTCTTTGTTAAATAAATTCCCTCCTCCTCAATTACTGACATTTTTTCCTGCAGTACTAACTCTTATCTTTTGTAGTCTTGTCTAGGAATAACTGGGAGATGATGATAACAAATATTTCTGCTCTTCCCAAAGCAAGCATTCTAACAATGCCATCATCTGAAAGGCACTCTATATGCGTGCCCCTAAAAATAATGACCATCCATCTGTATTAATTTAGGGTCTAAGTTCAGCATTCTGTCTCCAAAGAAAAAAAAAGAACAGCTCAGGAAATCAGTGAAAAAAAAAAAATTGCTGGCTGAATACCAAACAAAAGCCAACAACTAAAACCCAGTTTGTTGCAGGGACACCATAAAATCAGACTGTCTGCTGCAGTCATGGTAGAAAATCTTTTGGAAGTGAGTGTATGCTTTTGGCTCTTGTTATAAGATAACTGATAATGAGTTAAACATGATTCATATCAAGTCATGAAAATGACACATGGGCCCTAAGGGTGGGAATTGGAAGGGTCTTTCATAGCACATGTCTTTGGAGAAACTGATGATAACTTGTGGAGAGGTTTCACAATTCTGAATAGTATACAGGGTTCAAAAATATTTTCATTTCTTCTTCTCCTAATATCATTTACTTTCTCCCGTTTCCCCTCCAAATAAATCCTCTCCATCACACACAGCATGGAGAAACCTGAGCTAAATGTGGTAAAAAGACAGATATGTTATATGTAGCTATAGCTGAACTGTGGAATAATTTTGCCTAGTTTCTCTTCTGACTTTAACTTCCGCTCTTCGTTATTTTATTAATTTATACCTTCTTTTCTAGTAATGGCAATTTTTTTTTTTCTGAGACCCAGACTCCCCTTGTGGTTTGATCTCTGCCCTTTATCTGAAGCATTAAAAGGAAGCTATAGTCACTATTCTAATCTAAGCTTAAGAAGATAGGGAGACAACTTCTAGCTGTTCCACACAGAGACCATCCTTTGCAGATAAGCTAAATCTTCAAAGGGAAATCTTGCAAACTCTAAATCACTTGTGGGTAGAAGGCAGCTTTGGGTTCATGTCTAAGAGAGAAGCTTGTTGACCAACAGTGCAAGCTGCCTCAGTCCAGATTATCCTTTTGTGTGCTTTGAGCCTTCTCAAGTCAAACTGCATCATGCATTTTAACACATCCTACCATCTGGAGATCCAGGTGTCTCATGACATGCCAGACTTACAAGTTGGTGTGAGTCTGGGTCAGTCTTACACAGACAGGACTGTGCTGTGTATGACTGAAAGCCTTAGGTCATGACACACTCCTGCAAAAGCTGATGGCTAGAGCTGTATCCAGAAACACATTTATCTGTGATTTACTGGTGAAAGCTAAACCTGATATTAACTCCTGCAGTATAATTGTATTGCAGTGAATTTTACAATACAGTAGGAATTAAAAGGTACAAACTAAAGCTGCTGAAATGCCCAGAATTAGGCTACAGGACAAGATGAGTCTCCATTTATATGACAGGTAATATCATATTTTGACTAAACATATGAGCACGATTGATACCAGTATCAGAGCTAATAGCATTAGAATAAATTATTTTATGACAAAGGCAATAATCAGGAGTGCTGAGGATTTTGTGAGGGCTTTCTTTTAAAACCTATGAGCTGATCAGTGTAGTGCCTTTGTTAAACAAATACCATGGATAAACCACATACATGGTTGTCTGTCACAAGTTCTTCTACATCAGCAATCTGGAGATGTACAAGATGTTTCACTCCCGCAGAGAGGGTCTTTCAATGACTTTCTGCTCAACCAAGGTACATTGCAAACCTTCAAATCAATAAGCCATCTGCCATAATTCAAAATTCAATGGAAAGTCAACATTTACATTTGGTTTCATTGCACCAGATAACCCCTCCACTTTACTGAGCAGTAAGTTGAGTTAATTCAAGCTCCATGCTAGCGACCATGCCTTCACTCTAGAGAACAAGCAAGAAAGCTAAAGCCCCCAAGTTTCAACAGAGCTGTGAGCACGAGCAGCACTCTCAGCCCGTCATTTTCGGATACGTACCCAGTACAGCACATCTGTCCAGCCCTCCATGGTGATGCACTGAAACACCGTGAGCATGGCAAAAGCAAAATTGTCAAAGTTGGTAATGCCATGCTTAGGTCCCTCCCAGCCCGCCTTGCACTCGGTGCCGTTCTGACACTGCCGCCCGTGGGCAGACTGGGGGGCACACGGAGACGGATCGTCCTCTGCAGGTGTATCTTAAAGGAGAGAAGGGGGAGAAAACAGCTGAAGGAAACCATCTGGCACACTGATAAGCAAGTGAAGGATATCAGATTTTAACAAATGTAGTTCGCAGTGAGTTTGACAGATTTCTCAGGAATACACAGGCAACTGCTCACTGTCGAGATTCACTTTCTTTTTGCAAAAAATAATAGCCAAGCTGTCAAATTTTATAGTCAAAACAGAGATGAACTTTTTTTTCCCAAAGCACACCCTCCTGCGAGGAAGAACTCATGCCTTTCAACACGACAGGGAGCATCAGATCAAGCCTATCATGTTTCATTAGGCTGGTGTCATGCCAGTGTTCTCCCACTGCAGTCACCTGGCATCTGGGTTAATCTGGGAGGCACAGCACTGACTGGCACTGCTGCAGGAGGCTGAGCCCCTGCAGCAGACAGGCTTCAGTGCTTGGGAGACAGGCTGAGGTGGCACTGGGCCACTGCTGAATTACAGCAGGGAGTGTCTGGGGCTCTGCTCTTTTGGCATTTAGATAATGTGTGGTGTTTTATCAGTAGCCCAGTGGCACTCAGAAACTCTAAGGCTGCACTTGGTTATCCACCCCTCATTCTGTACAGGTGTTTTCAAAGACCTGACAACCTATACAACAAAGCAAACTAAATGCTTTGCTATATAAAGAATGCTCCACAAAACATTTTTATAAGCACAAAAACTTCTGCAATGTGATTTTTAAAAATATACAGGTTTCAGATCTTAGTGCTACATTTTTAATAGATGCAGGTATGTATGTACATGTAGGGGAGTGGGTAATTATGTTTGCTTCTCTTATTATATGGTAAACAATGTAATTTTCCAAAATTGTGATCACATTCTGATCACGAAAGAATGCCAGAAACAGTAATATCAGAATTAGATGCTGTAATGTAAATACTTCCAGACAGAATGGAGAAAAATACACCCACTTTAAAGATGCAAACCACAGTGACAGCTCATTATAGTTCCAGCATCGTGTCCAGAAAATGAAATCTGCCAACACTATGCAGAACTTTTGAAAAAAATTTTTGTTGTAGACTGTTTTCTAATGAGCTGAACTGGGTGCTAGGCATTAATACTCTCTACCACCTGAGAAACAGCTGCTGCTCAAGATCAACAAATCAAACTAAAATTAACAGACGGTTAGATGAGTGACAGTGCAATTGAATAGTTTTGAAATGTGAATATTTCTTTCTGTAAATAATTTGAAATAAATGAATTTCCTGATGGAATTGATGTAAAAAATTTTCTTCCCAATAATATAATTTTATTTTCTTTCTGGTTGTACTTCTAACCAAAGTTGCAGCCTGTGACTGAAAAAAAAGGGCATTTCCCTGAATTATGTATTCCTTTACAATGATACTGGTTTAAAACAAAGATGCATTTGTGTATGACGTTAATAATAAAATACGAGGTGTTCATTTCTGTAACACCATCTCCTGTGTAGCTCAGTCTGCAGTGGTGAAATTGTGAAACCCGTAAGAAGGACATAAGCAGTGAGCAAGAGCCACCCATCTCCAGTGCCAGAAGAAATGCTCTGTTACACGTGGGAAAAGCCTCCCTCTGAAAATCCTGTATGCTTGTGTGTGTTCCCCTTACCTATCAGTCCCCCTTGCACATGGTAGCAGGTCTTATGCATCTTCCCCATGAACAACTCCAGTCCAATGATGGCATAGATAATAATGACAAACAGCACCAGCAGGGCAATATGCAACAAAGGGACCATGGCCTTGATAATTGAATTTAAAACCACCTGGAGACCTGCAGAGAGAACAGAAGGAAGCACTTATTAGCAAGAGAACAAAATTCAGAGAGGCTATAAATTGCACAGTAGTGCTTCAGTTTCATTTTCCCCCCTCACCTGAACTCATTATCTTGATGATGCAAAGATGTACATTTACAGATTACCTCCCTCCAGAAGATCCCCAACATTTCAAGAATTTACCACTGCTTCCAGATCACAGGCCAAAGTGAAACAGGTACTACCTTACCTGGCACCAAAATACCCCCATCCTGAGGAGGGAATATGTCAGCTAGCTTGCTTGTTCTTGAAAAGCAAGAACAAGGTGTTGCACACAAGGTGTTGAGGAGAGTTAAAGTAGGGGAAAAACAAGGAAAAACCAGGCACAAGAACCGTGATACCCATGAGAGGGCAAATGCTGGGGTGCACAGAGCTGTACTCCAGAGCATGGGGAGAGGTGGCAAACTAAAGTCATGTCCTTACCGTGATGCTGGGGGCTTCCAGAAGTAAAGCCAGTCCCAGGCAGAACCTGAGATGCCCAAAAATCACCAAACTCACACTGAGTGAGAGCTCCCAGCCCTCTTAGGATCTTCCTGTGCTCCACATCCACCTCATCTAACTTCAGTCTCAACAGAGGGAAAATCAGAACCAGCAGTGCCGGTTTTGTCCCAAAATTTATGGATCACCTTTTAACAGAGGTTTCCCAGAAATGTACATGAGCAAAATATTATTACATGATTGTTAAGATACAAGACTGCTGAAAGTCCTAATCATGAGCAAGCCAGACATTCCCAGAATGGCCCAGGGAAGGTGACTTGTAGACAAGTTTTCTAAATCACTAAGCAGCTGTACCCTCAGATGCACTTGACTCAAGCTGCAGATTCATGTGCCTCCCTCTGTCTCCTTCCCCTCATTTTGTAAAACCAGAATAATAAAGCCAGCCTCATAAGCCTTTAGTAAGGGTTTGCATTTACAAAGATCTTAAAGTTATCGCTTTGAGTAAGAATGATGGCAATCACTGTCACTGGCAAGTTATTAATGATGGAAGTATTGAGAGGCCTCTAGAAATCTATAGTCTACAAATAGCCAGATCAGAACAATTACAAGCTTATGATTTTGCAAAGACTGAGAGCCAAAAGTCATTAATGTCTCCTGCAAATGCTGTCATCTCCTCAGAGAAGTTGGTATTAGCTGTGATTTTTGAAAAATGTGATTCATGAGTTGTAAATGTCTGTTATACATCTGCCAAGAGAGCTTGTGATAACTAATAACTTTTAAAATCTATCATCTAAGATCTTAGACTTTTTTTTTTCTCCCAAACTAATTTAAATACTTTCTAATGAGGATGACACATCTCTTTGACAAGCGCTTTCCCTTGTAGGCAATCCACTTGTCAGCTTACAGCTAAGGCTGAGACTGCCTTTGCTCCACAGCTGTGATGGAACACAGCAGAAGTGGCATCAGCTGCCCTGGCCAGCAGCACCTCTCACTGCCTGCTAGCTGATACTGGCTGGATTCTAACACCTCTCAGCTGTCAGAACACTTTCTCAGGTGTCTACAGGTGGTTCAGCTATCTATCCAAAGTAGTGCCATTCAGCATGAAACATTCTGGCTTCCACAGAGACTCCAACATGAACTACAATACTGACAGAATCAAAACATCCTGCACAAAAGTTGGCCACTCTCCTTGCTCATTTGCCTATGGGTGCTTTTCTCAATAAGCAATATCTCTGGGGAAAAAATATTTGCTGTGTTTACATTAGTCAATCTTTTCCTCTAAATGCCCTTGTCTTTCAGTCCACTAATTCTAAACATGCACGGAAAATGAAGTGCAGTCAACACCAGCATTGCTCCAATTCTTTGCATTGGTCAGGAATGTTACATTCCCCAGAAAATTCCCAAACAAGGTACAACAGTACAAGAAAGTTGAAAGACTACAGATGGCTGCAAACCTGAAAAAAAACCCACAAACTTTGCAGACTGAAATATTTGCTGCTTCAAATAAATTTTCACAAAAGCAAATAAAGGCCTCCCTTTTCAGTTACTTTAGGAGTCTTATTAATCCAAAATGTAGCAAAGCTTATGAGGTTAAGAGTTCTAACACCAGGTTTTATGCAATTTACCCTTAATTATTATTATTAATTAATTTTAACATCAATTTAGGTCATACCCAGTACTCTTGAGAGGGTACTGAGGACAGACAAAAAGAGGAACACAAAAGCTCTCTCATTTTCAAAACAGCTTCATTAACACCCACACCATGAAAGTGCTTCAGCCTGCTACAGATGTCCAGAGAAGATAATATCTGCACAAAGCAATGCCCTTTGTGCTAACAAAGCAGTGTTTGTGAAAACAAAGGTTTGCACCATGAACTTGAGATGATGTTTAGATGGTCGAGGAGAACATGTACCACCAGAAGATGTACAGCACCTTCAGCCAGCTTACAGAAAAGCTTCTTGAGGAAAATAAACCAACTTTGAAGAGGACATGAGGTACTGAATGCTTTTAGCATGAGTTGATGTGTGTGCTGTGCAATATCCCTTCAGGGCACAGCCTGTTTTTAAATCTAGATGATTCCAGTAATTGGCAAACTCGAATATGTTACCATCAAAGTATTTGGAGAGTTTCTAAAAGCTAAAAACCACTATGTGGCAACTTTACAAATGCCCTCAGGAGGTGTAATGGATGCTGTCTGCAGAGGGGCAAGAGATCCATGCACATCACCAGGCTCCCCATGCTGCTGTTGAGCTCCTTGCTGAAACAGATGCTGCCTGCAAGTTGCTTTATTCTGTCAGGCAGCCACTTGCAGCACCAAGAGCTGCTGCAAGGAATGGCACAAGGAACCATCCATGGACACTCAGAAAACCTTGTACTAGCAAAGGGGAGAACAGGGAGAGGGGATGAGGAGGGATTAAAGGACAGGGGAGGAGCCATGGGTAAGTGGAACAGTCTTGTACTGGCAAAGGGGAGAACAGGGAGAGGGGATGAGGAGGGATTAAAGGACAGGGTAAGTGGAACAGCGCCAGTTTTTAAATAAAAACCTCACATGCTTCAAAACACATCAAATCTGTGTTCTGAAACTCCAGAGGTACAGACTGCTTCCTGCTCAGAGTAAATCAAGAACCACCTCCTGACAAGCAGCCACAAAGAGTTTTCTGACCAGTGGTGAGAATTCTACGCACAGTGGTGAGAATTCTACACACTTTAACGAGCTCTTTCTCTATGCAGAAGAAGAAAAGAGAGTTCAGCTTATAAAAGAATGATTTCTCTGCCCCAGCTCATGTGTGCTCTTAATCCTTGCATGGTGCAATACACAGGCATCACTCCACATGGGTGTTCACACCATTGCGTATCTTTGGCATTTTTTTCTCACTTGTGGAGGTAAGGCTTGCAGTTCTAGCAATGAGCTGTGCAGCTGATAATCATAATTAAGTCAGAGTGCCTGGTGACCTGATCAGACTGCAGAGCTGGCCTCTGGATTAAAGGAGGTGATGCCAATAACTGCTTTGTACAGCAGAGCCAAGTTTTTACAGTGCTGTTTGCAGAGGCTGGCAATGTCAGCACTGGCCAACCATAAACACGGGGTCTTGAACTTAAGTCCTGATAAGTAAATATAAAAATAAAGGCTTTTCAAATATTTGGCATTCTAAATTGACTTCTTCGTGTGCCAGACTCTCTGCAGACATCTGTTAAGGTGCAGCATCTGCCTTGAAGAGCTCACTGCAGGCTGGACACAGAGAGCTGCACAGGGATTAGGGAAAGTGCAACGAAAGGGATTGTTTGCACTTTTTCAGCCCACACTTTTCATCTGTTAATAATTGAAGATCTTAAACAACTCTTAGTATTTATTTTAAAAGCACTTCAGTTTACCTTTAAAAAAATCCTCTTGGCTCTGTTCTGTTGGCTGACACTGATTCCATAAATGTTTCAGCAAGCAAAACATGTTAATGCTGTTCCCTGGGCTCACAGAATTTAGGATTTATTTTCACTGATAAAACATTTTAAATATTTATTACATGGGAAAAACATTGCTTTTTATACCAGGTCAAGTCCTTTTTAGCCTCTGCATTAACCCAAAAGTTTAGAATACAACTGGGAAGAAGAGGGACCATGGAAGAAGGGAGGAAAAAAGCTTATACCAATAACATTAATCTTTCTCAGAGCTGTGGGAAATGCACTTTTAGGGCTGCTGCAGGTGTTTTAGAGCTATTACATGATGCTGTGGTTTTCTCTCATGAAGATGATGAGAGGGGCTGGTTGCTGTCTCATTGATTCAGGCAGTTATTGAAGAATGTGCTTTATCTTTGAGCAAGTGAGTGGCTGCACCTAAAGCAATGGGATTACCCACACATCCCCTTGTGTACTTACAAGCTTTTTTGGATTTCAACCAGTGTTTAGCAAGATGGCACAAGAAAAAGACCCAGCTGCTAAAACATTCTTGGCATTATTGCATTGTGAAACATATCCAAGGAAATTAATGGTAGGTTTGCTAATAAAGAATTCCTCTCAAGAAAGACATGCCTATAAAAAATAAGACAATTCTTAGAAACACCTAACTTGCCTTTTTTTTTTCAAGAATGTGAATTATCAGACCTGAAAAATCATCTTTCTGAGACTGATTCTGACAGGTTTTTTCTCAAAAAGATAAGATCTCTTCTTTATTGCACAGTGGTGTTCATAAATTCCCAATTAATTGGTGCATGAGTGTTGATTACCTCACATTTCCTGCCCTTTTCCCCTTAGGTTTCCTGTCCTTTTGTACTCTTCATGTTTCCTGCCCTTTTTTCTCTCCATTTTCACTTCACATTTCCTGCCATTTTTCACTACACATTTCCTGACATTTTTTCTCTCTCTTTTTCTTCCCTTTCCCCCTCTATTTAAATAATTAAAATATTGGAAAAATTCAACCTGAATTTAAACCCTTAAAATGAAGGGAATACGGGGATTCCCTTGCAATTTAAGCCTTAAGATGATGAAAATGGGAGATTTTCCCTCAACTCAAATCCATAAAATGACATCA